TAAATAGGACAAGAATTACTTGTTATATATTGTTTATGATTCCATTAACTCGTAGTTTACCCAAAAAAACTATCGGTCACATTGATACAGTAGGTATACCATACATAACGTGACAAAGTCTAAAGTTTACTAAGTTTATAGGGTTAAACAAACAGAAAGAGGTGTAAATCAATTATAATGAGCAATTAGTTCGTTGACTGAACTAAAATTAACGCTCACTTACCGATTGTCTGAATCATTATGGTTATACGAATTAGTTATAAATGTTTTTCTATTTACTCCTCGTTGAGCATAATTTCCTATACAGTTTGTCTACCTTTGTTTAGTAAGACAAGTAAAGTATTAGGAAGTAGCTTTAGTGACTGAATCAAAATTCAAATTCTATCTTACATACAACAAAATGTGTACATTTTATTTAAGCATAATGTTTTTCACATTTGTCCCTACAATATGTGACGGGACATAAATTATTTATTTTATTCTATAAACACTACGCCTAAATGTTAACCAAATGGAGACTATTCCTAAATATTGAACAAATATCAAATTATCGTATGATTATCAAATTATTTGGTTAAGGTTTCACTAAATCTATGTTATATTTTTAGATAAGAAAAAAATATCCGAACAGTATAAAATTCATCTATATTCTAGAGTATTATTTAACTAAATTGAATTTATTCCTTGTATTTCCGTGCTAATATTAGATGTTTTTATGATAATAGAAAAAATATTTAGATATTCTGTTTTATCATTTGGAAATTTATTTGATTCTTATTATTCGGAATACACTTGAAGTGGACATTACATATCACTATTATTCGTTAAGTATGGCTTGATGTTAATGTTTAAATGCTCACTGATAACTAGTAGGAAAATAATTAAAACCATATTTTATATATTAGTATGGTTTCTTGCTTCATAGATTAATTCAAATTCAAATAAACCAATCAAATGGCTTTTCACATTTTGATAGTAATTTTAGCTGTAAAATTGAAAATAAACATATTAATTCTTATTTTTAAATTCGATGTTGGTTAGCAGAGGAATTTGAAGAGTATATTTCATTCAATTTAGGACTCACCACACTTGAGGAAACCCACATTTTTATATTCTTGTTTACTGAAGGAATTGTAACGATTAACATTGAATTCAAACATTAAATGCATTTTCTAATTACCTTCTGGGTTCAGACAGCCCCTGGCTTGTACAGTGGCGATGAATTTTCTTCTATTTGTATGAATTATCAAATTATTGATGTTAAGCACTAAAACTATTGAGTCATTTTGTTTTACAAACCAGTAGCTATCAGAATTTAAAAGTTAGGCGTTTAGTGTGTTTGATGTTTGCAGAGGATGATACTCATTTAGAATCCATGAGCAAATAAAAAAATAGAGATATAGGTTCCTTCAGATGACGAATCCTATATAAAGAGAAGCACACTCTCTGAATTCAACTGCTACCCATTAATCATCTTTCCTTAAAAATGATTGTAACTTAATGGCACTGTTGATCATAAGTATATTTATTGTTTTCAACATTATTTAATGTAATTTTTCTGCTAAATGTAAGCATTCGAGTATTCATGTTTCTTTTCTCAATTGTATGTATGGAAACTTACGAATGTAGCCAACATTTAATATTTTATGGTTTGTAAGCGTTAAACGATTTAAAATATTTTATCCGTCCGGTATATAAGACTATTGAATTAACCTTGAATCTATTGAAAATCTTGATTACTACAAACATCATACTTGTTGATGATTTCACAATTATTTAATAGTGGAAATGAACTGAAGTGCTGAGTTAAATATTTTTAATATTATGCAGAGTGTGATTCTGCTCTGTTCTAATGTACACTTATTTTAAGTTTAGCCTTTAAATTACTCATACGATAACATCATAACGCTTATTAGTGTATGTGGAATTTTATGGGCATCCAATTTGTACAGTAGTCTTGAAATGAATAAATCTTATGTAGTTTAAATCAGTTTTAATAACAAATTATTAATAATGGAGTGTTACCAGTAAAAAGTTTTGTTGAAATTATAGAACTTCCATAGTTTTGGAGTCATAAACTGATCTTACCTGAACAGCTACTGAAAACCGGGTATCACTGAACAGCTGTTTTTAGCAGTGTCAGACTCTTAATTAGTGAATGTCTAAACTCCTATCCAATAGCTGAACCTAAGACTTTCAGTTTCGCATGTGAACACTTATCCTCTAAGGTGATTTAAAATTAAGAGAGAATACAGACATGTAGATGGGAGTGTAGAAAATTTATATCTTGTACTTTATGATTTCAATTGGACATCAGATCTTGAGAGAACTGTGATGGTAAACAATAATTTTAACTTTTCCTTCGTTTGATAACATTGATGATTTAAAAACATTTTCAAAATAAAAAAAGGATTAAATTACAACGAATTTTTTTGGTTTGTATGTAACACTCGAATAATTTCAAAAGTCATAGCGTTTTGTTGCGGTAATAAACTTATTACCAATCGTATTAATAAGTGTTGTGGACGCTAGATCCCCAGAAATCACTTGGAAAAAGTCCTGATTTTGTAATTTATTTCTGAAATTTTCAATTTTTATGTTTTTGCGCCAAAGACACTTGGTCGATTTTCAGGTCACATTTCCGACACGGGAAATCCTTGACTGTCATTGGCTGATGGATAATCTTTGTACGCTACTTCGTGGCTCTCACCAAGGGCGTTTTATCATTGTATAAATAAGCCTGAGTTGTGTACTTGAATATCTCAACCTTTCTGAGTGCCTGTAGAATACATTCTCTACGCCTTATTAAGACTATCGGATTAGAACAGTCTATCGTGTCACTTCATTCCGTTTACCGAACAAGGCGGACACGTTATAGCTGCAATCATATCAATAAGTCATTGATTTTTAATTCATACTGTTGATTTGAAATGCGAAATACGATAGTAAAATTATTTCAATTACCGATAAGATTCACAGTAGTCGGGACGTTTAATGAAGACATTTTAGCCAGTTAGTTTAAATGGTGAAACCCTATGGTAAACTGCTGAAAGCTTCTGAGCTCGGAAAAAAAGGATTGTCTGTTTATAATTTTTACTGGTCTAATGACCTATTCCGCTTCATGATCATATCTATCTTCAAAATATTAAAAATTCAATATTTTTGCATTGTATGTCTATGAAACTAATGGCAACATAACATTGTAATACTGTGAATAATGCCTAAGCAATAAATAGAACGGTGATCAGTCTATTACTAATCATACGAAAGTCTTAAAAAAGATATAATACACAAGTGTTATAATGATATAATGTTGCATGATATTTGCAAACTTTATTATCTCAAGTGACATTAGGAGTTAAAGGTAATGAATACATTGATTCTATACTTCCAATGTGGAATTTAATATTTATATGCTCTCCTGATATCTTCATAAAAACAAAGGTATTTTTGCAAACTTAAATTTGCAAATACCAAGTAATAACGAAATAGTTGGGAAAAATACTTAAAGGTAATAACTATGTCAACAATAGATTAGTCTCACAATAAGATTAACGAGTAAGAAATAAGATAAACAAAAAAATGAACCAGCCAAACATATGTTGATATAGTTCAGTGGTTTATTAAAAATAATTAGTCCTTTACTTAGAATACAGTTTCTTTCTGACTTTCAGTTTAACCCTTTCTATAAAATATTTACAAGCTTTTCTTTCTCAATTTGAGTTTAGATAAAATGTCTCGATGAAGTGGTGAATGTTTTGTCTGATAGTTAACATATTAGGTACACTTTTATGTTTCATAAAAATCTGGATTTTTAATGGACATGTTCCAAGTTAGATTAAGTATAACAAGAGATTTATATGAGACTAATTTTTAGCTTCGAATAGCTTCATTTTACCTGTAAATAATCCAACCCTTATTTCCGACTAACTTCGATTCAAAAAAAATATATTTTGAAAGGAGAATGAACTTACATCATTCCATTCATTTTCAACTAATCTTCTATTTCAAAAAATACTGTATGCACAAATCGTAGTCAATGTTTGGATTTGGTTTTTGAAAACGTAACTAGATAGTTGATTCGATTTAAAATGCTTGATGTTTCGGATATAAATTTTATCGACCTAAGTTGATATATGGACATCCTCGCCCAGACTTAGCCATCATGATGCAATTTATTGTAGGATAAATGTGAGTGGCTATCTGGCCATAATATTTAGGTGAACAGGGCTATGCAGCTTGAAGAAAATGGTGTTGGTTTTGAGTCTTGGAGTCAATAACAATTATGGAATACAGATAAATCTAGCCGAAAACTCCCGAAATGGACGAAACTCACATTTCAGATTCCATTGCTAGCCTTATTCTATCTATTCTGTGAAAATTGAAAAGATTTCACTAATTAAATAAGCTATAACTTTTTAAGAAACCTTTCGTAAGAAAGAAAAGTATTTACTGCGACAAGACATACCTACTTAAATTTTATTTTTATCTGGGAACTTACTTCCTCTTTTAAATTTGTCATATTCGGCTCAACCCCTATATACGTCATCCAAGATTATGTACAGTCTACAGTTACTTATTGTTTACAACTAATTTGGCTTACTTGATAGTTAGCTGTTATTTTGAGTACACGATCACAATGTACTCTGTCACTAGATTTCTGCAGTTTGAGGAAAATTTTTAACAACAAACAGTTTACAGTAATCCATAATCGAGCATCGAATACTTTGAGACGTCACAGACTTATCCATTCATAAATCACTATACAGGTAACTTTTTCTCCAGACGATAAATATTTCCAAGTAAGTTGTCATTCCTTACCATTCAACTCAATTAATTGTGCAATTGATATCATGAATGAAATGGACAGCTTTGCTAGTGATACTTTTGATTCTTGGACTTTTTTACTTGAAAGAATTTAAATTAACTTAGAGATATTAAAACATGTATCATTTAGTAAAATGAAGCAACATTTATTTTGTTTTCTCTTACTTTTAAAATTTTAGGTGAAGATATTAATTGTTAGATCAAAATATCCAACTGATGTATTACATTCAATGTTCAATTATAATTTTACAATCAATCATTTATTGTACAGGTTTTGTCAGTTTATACATAGAAAAAGAAATCTATCACAAAGTTAATTCAGAATATAATATTTATCAGAGGAATTTCACTTTTGATGTAGCTAAAGAAATTCTACCAGTTAAATTATTAATTATTACTTTATATTCATTTATAACATTGATGGGTGTGACAGGAAATCTGTTAGTAGTATGGGTTGTATTACGTGTAAAATTATTACAAACAATTACAAATATATTTATTGCAAATTTAGCTGTTTCTGATATTTTAATGAGTCTTGTAGCTACACCCTTTACTCCGTTATCATTATACATGAGTAATTGGACATTACCTGAAGCTGTATGTAAACTGTTGCCAACGACTATGGGTGTTTCAGTTTATGTTTCTACATTAACATCAATGGCAATCGCTTTGGATCGATTTTTTGTTATTGTGCATCCATTTCTGCCACGAATGAAAGTATGGTTATGCTTTATTATCATATTTACTGTATGGATAATAGCTGTACTTATTTCAATGCCATTAGCTGTTTATCAACAAAAGCATAAAGATCCTATCAATAATGTATCAAGTTGTCGAGAAAATTGGCCCAAAGAATCATCACGTGAAGTATTTACAATTGTTAGCTTCGTTCTACAATTTGTTATACCATGTAGTATTATTTCAGTATGTTATTTTCGTATAAGTTTGTTATTACGCGCTAGATTACATACACAAATTGGTAGTGGAACTAAAACACATATGAAAGAGGAACGTGAAATAAAACGTAAACGTCGAACAAACACAATGTTAATGGCAATGGTAATTATATTTGTTGTTTGTTGGATACCATTAAATATTTTATGGATGGTTATGGATGTATATAGTGAAGAACAAATAAATGATGTACAAAATTCTAATAATTTCAGTTTAATCTTTTTTGTATGCCATTTATTAGCTATGAGTAGTGCTGTATACAACCCATTTCTATATGCATGGATGAATAGCAATTTTCGTAAAGAGTTTCATCGTATTTTACCATGCTTCTTTCTAAAATCAAGATTTTATGCAAATCAAATTACTACACAAACTGTTGGTGGTGAATATACAGCTGTACGTGTAAATTATTTGAATTCAACAATTCAACCACCATCTGCAGTTCTACGAGGTAGTGTAGAATTGAAAGAAACTAGTCGAATTATGTCAAATGAATTGACTATAAAACAACAACCACAACAAAATGATAATATGAATTACAATAACAATATCATTAATAAAAATGATGATACTTTTATTAGTCATATTGAAGAAACAGGTAAACAAGATGTTCATAAACAATTAACTCATAGAACACAGGCAATAATTTATCACAATCAGTCAGATGAATGTCTAAACAGAATAAATACAAATTTAGACAATCAAATAATGATGGAAACCATTGGTAATAATAATAATAATAATAGTGATATTAATAATAATAAAGTTCTTGAAAATATCAACTGTCCGCAAATATTCATCCTTAAGACAACTGAACCGTGAATAAACCTTATATGTCTCGAAATATGTATAGATATTAATTATTATAGATAATGAAAATTATTTTTATGTTAAATTTTCTACAACATTAACAAATACAATATAAATGTTGTTTTCGACTTGTCAGGAATGATATCTTTTTTAGTTTCCCTGTCTTTTTGTTAATCATAGTAGGGAAAAACAGAGTTGTTTTTATTTATTTAATATGTTATTGAATTAATGAAATAAAAAATAATTTTCTAAAACCTGCTTTTCATAGATAAAATTGGTTGTAATATTTGACCATTAGCTGATTTACCAATTATATTAAAAGATATACTCGACGAGGAAGAGGAATTATGATGAATAAGGAATTTTATTTATAGGCTCTAAGTTAAACACAATTCGCATCAGGGATTCCATTTGTTCTTATTGTAGCATACATGAATCTGAGAAATATTCCAAAGATTATTCTATCCTTTGATAAAACATAATCGCAAATACGCCTGTTGTCCTTTACAGAGCTCCGATTAGCATTCTCAAACCAACTCTGTCCTCGTGCTTCCTTTCCTATTCTAAACAATTGTCCTTCATTTTTTTAATGTATGTCTCCGATTCTCGATTCAGTGTGTTCCTTGATCTTCTTCTTTTCCTTTTGACTTGAGGACTCCAAGTGAGATGGTGGTTTGCTTTTCATTGAGTATGATTTGGTTGATGCTTGTTGTGTTTCATGCAGACGATCTTGCTTTTGGCTTGTGTATGTTGAGGCTGCTGCTACACCTGTCGTCTTCTCCGGTATTTGTTGCGGTGTTTGGGATAGAATGGCTAGATCGTTTGTGAAGTTCAGATTGCCCAGCTGCATCAAAGCTGTCCATCGCACCCCGTGCTTATCCTCAGTTTTTGAAGTCTTCATAATCCAGTCGACCACCTGGACAAAGAGAAAGGATGAGAGTAAGCAACCTTCCCTGATGACGCCTACAACTGGAACGAATTTGTGAGTTGCACTTGATTTATGATCTTTCAGTTTAAACCATCATAGGAAGTAGGTATGATAGTGGCACGTTCTAGTGTCCAAAATGCCTCCATAGTTTCATCCTGTCCATACTGCCAAATGCCTGCTAGTAGTGAACAAAGTTGAGGTCCATTCAACTGATTGTTCCACAATGACCCACAGTGTTGCGATTTGGTCGATACGCAATTGATCCTTACGGAGTCTAGCCTGTTGATCTTCGAAGCTAAGCATGTACGAAATCTTTCATGCTGCAAACGTTTCCAGGTATTTAGAGTAGAGTAATGCTTGTGTAGTCCTCACACTTGCTGTGATTGCCTTTCTTTGATATCTTGATGAGCTGTCCTTCTTTTCATTCTGTCAACACTTTTTCTTCCTTCGAGGTCCTACTGCAGGTGTGGAAAATTTTTAATTTACTGCTGTTTTCGCCTCATCAGCTTCAATTTTTTGATCCCGATGCTTGCTGACTCTTGATTTCTATGACTGCTGTGTTGATCTCTTTAGTTGTCGGTTGGTCAATATCAAGTGGGGGGTCTGTAGGTGCTGCTTCGATATTGGATGGATTCACTGGGCCTGGTCGACTCAAAAGTTCTGCAAAGTGTACTGCCCACCTGTTTCAGCGTTCTGGAATGCAAGTACTGGTTTGTTTCCTTCGTTCTTACTACGTCATTCTAGTTTACTACATTTCTTTATTGTATCATATAGTTGTGTCGTGTTTCCTTCTCTTGTAGCATTTTATGCCATCATTGCTAGATCCTTCACGTGTTTCCGCTTTTCAACTCTGATGTTACGTTTCACTTCCATGATTGCTTCTGTATATTCAGCTTGTACATTTGCCTTCTCTGCTCTTGTTTGGCTTATATTGATTGCTGCCTTCTAGTTCTTTCTTTCTTCAATCTTATCCGGAGTATCCACAGAGATTCACTTTTTGTGTTAGTTCTTCTTACGGCTCAGAACCTGGGTACATGTTGCAGTTGTTTCTTCCTTGATCCCTGCCCAGTTGTACTCCAAAGTAGTTTCTTCTCGACTAAGTAGATCGTGAAAGGCTTGAAACTTGTTGCTGAGACTTATCTTGAATTCGCTGAACTTCGCAGTATCCCGGAGAAGGGCCGTAACAAACTTATAGGACTCTATTTGCCCTGCTTTCCAGTGTTTTTGGTCCTCAATCACATTTCTTAACTTTGTATTGAAGCAAATATGGTCGATTTGGTTATCTGTAGTGTGATTTGAATAAATTCATAGTGCGTTGTTTATGCGTTTGTGTGGGAATATAGTTTCGCCTATGAGTATGTAGTTAACGGCAGATAAATTTGCAAATCCATCACCATTGTTGTTCTTTTCTCTCAGTCCATGTTATCCCATGATATCTGCATTTAATGCATTGTGCCCTAGAATCTTGAGGTTTAGGTCAGCCATCAGTATACACACGATGATCACCTGCAACCTCCCACAGCATTGATTTTTTAGTCTTCATTGTATTCGTTGGCCTCTGCATTGTGCGGGAAAATATTCACCGTAATATCTTCTTCATTTTTCTTGAAGGATCTTTAGATAAATCACTGTGCATGAAATTCCCATCCTATAGGTGTGTAGTGAATCCACTGTTATGTGGAGAACGCGATTTGTTTCATCGAAACATCCATTATTTTGATCAGTTGTACCAGTGATCGTTTCAATGTACTTATCGTTTATAGCACTCTCTACGCGCAAACTTTCTGTATGTGTTGCTGCCATTCTTTGCTCTTCCGACTCTGTAATTTCGCCCCACTTTTCTGGTTTCCTTTCGATACCACGAAATCGCCAGTAAATATATTCTTTACCATGGATTTATTTCTCTACTCAGTGCAAGATTCATAATTAGTATTTAGTGGTGATCGTAATGAACCTGGACTCGGTCACCACTAAAAGTGCTTGATGGGTTTCTTTCGACAGCATTAGTGTAACTCCTTGTGCGCGTATGAGGTTTTTTCTTTTTTTCTTGACCGGAGTGCAGCAGTATGTCTTCTAAACCTAGTCTGTGTTATCCAGACTCTTTCAGTTGTGCTTCACTGACTTCAGTTATCATCAGGTTGTAAATTTTCACTTCTGCAGCAACTTGAATGACTCTCGCGGTCTCACATAATGTACGAACATTCCATGTACCCAAATTAATAGTTGCTTTGGTTGTGAAAATGAGCATCGTCCTCATGATTCCTGAAGAAACTTGGCTTTCACTATGAGGCGTCGTTGTTCTTCCAAATGAGGACCTTGCAACCGCCAGAACAGAGTTTAAAACGTTTGAATTATGTGTTCTGGTTAGGGTTGTTTAGCGAGTTAGCTTAACACGACGGGGTGTCTAACCCCATACCCAACCGTCTTCTTTTATTCGGGCCTGAGACCGTCGGTAACTGCAGAGAGGCTCTAACCGGAGTTTTCATGACGTGCATTTATTTATGACATGATCAGTTAGTCCATCATTCTAGTATTAATAAGCTAATATTCGAAGTTAGGTATTGTGCTTAGTCTATTAGTTTGTGGGTCAAGATAGTGATGGTCGTAGTGTTTTCTCAAAGATGTGGTCTTTAACTTAGGATTATTTATCAGGGAGTCTTATGAGACTAAATTACATACAAGGTGAATGGAATACGTTTGTCTTCAGAGGTGCTTGTATGTGGGTAGACCAGAAGCCTGCCTAACCCACAAGCAGATTGATTCGTAGTGTCTGCTCAGTCTTTTCTGACTGGTGATCCAATCTCGATAAGGGTATACTTAATTGGAAAGAGGGTTTAGAGCAAGTTAGAGCTGCATTACCGTGTTTTGACTGACCCGGAGTGCTCTCTTAACCACTATAGATTGTATCATCCTGGCTGAGAAATGGAATATCTTCTGGTTTACCAGTATATATAAGAGATGTTTGCTTATTTGTTTTAGGCATTCAGACCACCATCCCATAATGGTATTTTCCAGTTGTCAAGACCAGAAAGTGACAAATGAACAAAATACTCTAATTCTCGCACCGGAGAGTAATAATCTCTGAGTAAAAAGTTACGGAGGTTCCTTTGAGTCAATGAAGATACTGAAAAGCATTATTATAGCCGAACGGTATTTTAAGGTCATTCATCATCTCAGCAAACTTATAATTTGGTGTGCAAGAGTCACAGTGAAAGAACCACCGAAAATAAATAAAATAAGGCCAAAAATTTAACTTTAGTACGAAAGAACAATCGTAACCGTTTTCATCATTCCGTGGCAATGATAATAATATCTGTTCTCATACAACTGTGTTATACGGCGCGCGTCAGTTTACAAGTTAGTACGTCTAATGTTATGGGTTGCTCAGGCTGATGTTTTATAAATTACACTGGGTATAGACATAGAGAACTAATATTTTTCAAATAAGATTGCAAATAATATCTAATAGATAAGAGAGTAGATTACAGCCGTCAGTGCGAATTATGTCCGTTGTGCGATGGAGAACGTTTACTGGTCGAGTAATGCAACTAGTTAATACTACATATAATAAGAACTGATGAGAAAATTAGTATTTGATAGTAATGTCTACGAAAATACCTAGTCCGACAAATGTTGTGGGTGCTGATTTCATTTTGGGGCTGAAGATTTTAATTTAGCGGGACCAAGAAACACTGATAATGATTGACAGACATGACAAACACCATAAACGCTACTAACAACGGTATTAGAACTATTCCAGTTTTTATGACCCCCACAGAGAGCATGTAAGCTTTGATCAAGTGTCATGACTCAAAAGGTAACCTAAACCAGGAACTGTGTATATTTCGGAGTTAATCTGACACCAATAAATTAAGCCCGATGGTTTCAGTACGACATTTATATCCAATTTCATATCCAATATCTTTTTCACGAGATAGTGCAAACCAACTGATTTCTTTGACCTTGATTCTTGTTCTTTCGGCACAGTTCTAGGTGTTTGGTAGTGTCTAACGAATGGGAGTCTGGCCACTCGACTGTATAATTCTAGTCAGTTAGCAGTTGGTTATGAGTTTGTATGTCCCGCGATTTGAATGAAAACGTCTGTTTCAGAGCAGTAGGGTTTCTGGATACTGGATAATAATAAGAAGAAAATTATCATGCTAA